GGGCCCTCCCCTATATGAAGGGCGGGGCCCTCCCCTATATAAAGGGCTGACGCTGCACTGACAGTTTATTCAAAAAGTTCACCTCTTCTCGCAACATTAGAGCAAGGAGGGTGACTTGGGTCGTTTTCACACCAGATAGTCCGGTAGACTCGGTTCGGTTCGGGACCAATATTCATGATCTTTTGTTACATTTGAGCTGGTGCGTTTGCATTCACACTGCACTGTGCAGTCGAGTCAACCTGTTGAACCAACCAACCTGTTGAAGCAACCTGTTGAAGCAACCTGTTGAAGCAACCTGTTGAAGCAACCTGTTGAAGCAACCTGTTCCCCCCCTCGCCTGTGGGGGCGCTGCACCAAGAACTACTGAAAGAAACAACACATAAACCTCTGAAGACACGTCTTCTTCTTCTTCTGTAAATAAAAATAAAAACGAAGTGGCATCAAGTTTTAGCAGTTTTAGGAGTTATATTTAGTCATTTTTCAACAATGGACTCAGCATGAGCAGAAGATGAGACAGAAGACCACGGAGAATATTGTTTTCCACACAAGTCAGCTGACGGCTCCATATGAGAGAAATGTGTGTTTGTTTGTCCTGCGGAGCGGGGCCCGGTCTGTTTACATTCACACTGTACTCGAACCACGATGGAGTTCGTTTCTACCGGACGGAGACCTAGGTTTTAGCCCGGGCCAGAGTTCGATGGTGCGTTCACACCTCCCTAAATGAACCGGACTTTCTAGGAAAACGAGCTAGAGTTAGATTAAAGTGGACTAAACAGGGCTGCTGTGAATGCAGCCTTGGTGAGACACTCACTCATGCTACTGAGAGAAGCGGGGTTACGACAGAACTTAAAGTTCTCTTTCTTAGCATTTGTTTCATGTCTCACATTGGGAACAAAAAATATATTGACTCCCATATTGCTCAGCAGATTTAACGTTACCTGCCAGCTAATTTCAATCCTCCTGTGCACTTAGTGCTACATTGAGAAGTGAATGAGCCAGAGATGATGATGTGAGATAAAACCGAGCAAACGTGTGAGGAGAAGCCCATCTTGCTGCGGCACAGATCCCCTGAAGGGATACCCCTTTCAGCAGGGCCCATGAAGAGCTTAAGCCTTGTAGAATGAGCACGAATGCCCTCTGGAGGCTGCAGTCCTTTTGAACTGTAGGCTAAGGCAATCGCACCTGTGGTCATGTGGTCATGCACCTGTGACATCAACAAGAAGGCCACAGATGTCCTCATGCGGGAACCTGGCGAGTTCCAGGAGCCACAAGCGGCCTGCGATTTTCAGAAATCGCATCAAGCTTGCGGTTGAGCTTGTAAACATGAGTCTGAGATCTTGAGGCACGGATTAATCCTTCACATAAGGCTGGCAGCTTTACCGTGGCAGAAACTGCTCCACTTTGGAGTAAGCTGTTGGGGAAGAATCAGTTTTGTTGTGTGTTTCCTTGACTGATGAAGCCTTCCGGACCAAAGGCGAAACGATTCAGCACAAAAAAAAGAAACTGTCCAGATGACCTGACTGAAAAATGTTGGATTGTATACCTGGATTATTGAGCATGGACTTTGTTGCTGCCAACGTCTTCCTAATTTGTCAATATCTGAGGTATCTGCTGATTCCAAAAAGCAGAAACCCTGTTATCATAAACCCAGTAATGTACAGATCTTCTATGTCCTCCACGGACTGCACAGATAGGCACACCATCTTCCACTCATTCCAGGAATCCATGACGTACCCAGCTGCGAGGGTCCGTTCAGGGCATGAGGGCTCTCCAGCACCCTGTCGTCTGGTGGGAAATTATGTTTCAATTGTGTTGAGGGACCAGCTGACCAAATCCATAATAATTGTCTATTTGGAAGACATGTAAAGAGAGGCTCTGAGGTCGACAGGACAAGAGAGCTAAAAATGTTTCCACAACCTGACTGTACCGGTCTGTAGGTTGGTTTGTTGCTGACCAGTGATTTACTACCAGTTGGACCATCCGGGACAACTTGTTCCTGTCTCTGTCTATGAGGTTCTCAAACCATGAGACAATATTAAAGGAGACAACACTTTGACCCTCTACACCGACTGCAAGGTACAGGTCACCTGTTGAAATTTAGTGGGCGTGGCTTATATTCAGGCGCACTCAATAGCCTGGAAATTACGGTAAACTATGTTACACAAAGTATTCTTTGCCTCTCACCTGACTGTCCCTCACCTGTATGTCCCTCACCTGCATGTCCCTCACCTGTCTGTCCCTCACCTGCATGTCCCTCACCTGTCTGTCCCTCACCTGTCTTTCCATCGCTGGTCTGTCTCTCACTTGTCTGTCTCTCATTTGTCTGTCTCTCAGGGGAAGCGTGTCCCTGGCAGTCCTCAGATGCTTCAGCTCAGTTTGGATGGACGGAGACTTTACGTGACCACGTCCCTCTACAGCAGTTGGGACAAACAGTTTTACCCAGACATGATTAGGTACTGACCCAGGACCCGTCAGAAACTGGACTCAGTGGGTCCAGGTTCTGAATCACTCATGTCCCTCTGAGAACTGGCTGTCCTTACTGCTCTTGTCTTTTTACAGAGACGGTTCTGTGATGATGCAGATCGATGTGGACTCTAACCACGGTGGTCTGTCTCTAAACGAGAACTTCCTGGTGGACTTTGGGAAGGAACCTGATGGTCCAGTTCTGGCCCACGAGCTTCGGTACCCGGGAGGAGACTGTACCTCAGACATTTGGCTGTGAGCTCCACCTGGACCTGCAGCTCCACCTGGACCTGCAGCTCCACCTGGACCTGCAGCTCCACCTGGACCTGCAGCTCCACCTGGACCTGCAGCTCCACCTGGACCTGCAGCTCCACCTGGACCTGCAGCTTGCTCCTGAACCATCCATAGGAAAATCTACAAACTCCTTGTGTCTTTAAACCAATTAACCCGGTTCTGGTTCTGGTTCAGCTTCACCCCGACAGGAAACAGCTGCAGACCTACTTCCTGTTTCTACAGTCTCTAGCTCTGACCTGAGATCAGTCCCTGAGACGGTCAGTCCTCAGGTTCTGTGAGAACCGGTCTGCAGTCGGGTGGCTCTAAGTTGGACCCGTCAGAACCTTTGTGCCTCCAGCAGCAGCTTGATTTCAATGTTTCTGTTCTTGTTCATGAAAAATAAAATCTGATGGAACACGTCGATCTTCTCTCAACTTCATATCTTTGTCCCCGTGTCCGGTCTCGGTGAACGTTTACTCGTCATGTTGGGTCAGAACTTTCTGTCAAACAGGAAGTTTGAGCTCAGGCCGACAGGAAGTTCAGGGATGTTTCAAGTTCAAGTTTCTTTATTGTCGTTCTCATCGCGTGGTACATGAGGTGGAACGAAATTATGTTCACAGGGTCCCAGTTCCATCCAACAATAAAATGTATAAGAAAAACAGTAATAATATCTAAGATATGAACTAAGAAAAACATCAACTAAATATACACTAAGCACTGATAGCATAAAACATTGAACATCAGCACAAACATGAACATGAGTCTGTGAGCAGATGTGCACGCATGAACACATCAACATGAAACAGATCAGCAGCAACATGAAACGGATCAGCAGCAACATGAAACTGAAGCAACATGAAACAGATCAGCAGCAACATGAAACAGATCAGCAGCAACATGAAACAGATCAGCAGCAACATGAAACTGAAGCAACATGAAACAGATCAGCAACATGAAACAGATCAGCAGCAACATGAAACAAGCAACATGAAACAGATCAGCAGCAACATGAAACATCAGAAGCAACATGAAACCTCAGAAGCAACATGAAACAGATCAGCAGCAACATGAAACAGAAGCAACATGAAACAGATAAGCAGCAACATGAAACATCAGAAGCAACATGAAACATCAGAAGCAACATGAAACAGATCAGCAGCAACATGAAACATCAGAAGCAACATGAAACAGATAAGCAGCAACATGAAACAGATCAGCAGCAACATGAAACATCAGAAGCAACATGAAACAGATCAGCAGCAACATGAAACATCAGAAGCAACATGAAACATCAGAAGCAACATGAAACATCAGAAGCAACATGAAGCAGATCAGCAGCAACATGATGTGATTTTTCACAGTGATTATTCTGGTTAGAGATTCATGAGTCTAACAGCCTCAGGGTAGAAGCTGTTCCTCAGTCTAGTGGTTCTACACTTAATGCTCCTCAACCTCCTTCCTGAGGGGAGCGGGCCAAAACGTCTCTTTAGGGCTCAGGTGTTTATGAGCTAGAACGTCACGTGATCAGCGCGCCTGCGCAGATAGGTCATTACGTCATTAACCTATTGGACGTGTAGCTGCGGTTCTCCGGGTGTAACGGCTCCGTCCTCCCTCTCATAGCTGCTCCTGGCCCCCGGTATGTCCGCTGTCGGTGTCCTGAGGAGCCGCCGGGTCCTCCGGCAGCTGCAGCTCGGCCTCCCCGCCTCCGTGTTCCGGCGCTACAGCCTGGATGTCCCCGCTCCGCTGCTCCGGACTCAGGGCTACGTGGACGGTCGCTGGGTCTCCGCAGCTTCGGTGTTCCCGGTGCTGGACCCGGCCACCGGACAGGAGTTAGCCCGGGTGTCAGACTGCGGTCCGGCGGAGGCCCAGCAGGCGGTGCAGGCTGCGCACCGAGCCTTTCAGTCCTGGAGGGAGACGACAGCCAAGGTAAGAGCTGGACTCTCCGCCAAACTGCGTTCAAAAAATGACCGTTTTTAGTCCCACCGGTACCGGACCGCTCCCCGGGGCTCCACGAGCCTCTCTACGCTTTAGTCAGGTTTAGTAATAAAAACTGTTAGTTTCGGCTCTAACAGAAACACATTGACGCGTTTCATGACTCAGAAACCTGCATGTGAAGGATCGGACCCACGACCCCAAGAGACCTTAGACTTTGGCCCCTGGGTCACTCAGCTGTTCAATAATCCACAGTTAATGGTTTTATTCTATTGCTCTGCTAAAGTAACTGTGTTTATTTTTGTAAGGTTTTTATTATTTATATATCTAGAGTTGATTTTTGGTTTATTTAATTTGAGCCGTGGGCGAGTTGACTCTGTTTCAATGTGTGTGTGTGTGTGTGTGTGTGTGGGGGGGGGGGGGGGGGGGGGGGCCGGGGGGGCGGGGGTGGGGGGGGGGGGGGGGGGGGGGGTACCAGAGGAGAAGCGGCAGAGAGGTGGAGGACTACAGCTCTGCTTCCTGGCCTGCACCCTGGACTGGACCCTGGCCTGGACCCCGGCCTGCACCCTGGACTGGACACTGGCCTGGACCCTGGACTGGACATCCATCCATCCATTTTCTTTACCCGCTTATTCCATTTTGGGTCACGGGGGTCGCTGGTGCCCATGTCCAGCAATCACTGTGCGAGGGGCGGGGGACACCCTGGACGGGTCTCCAGTCCATCACAGGGACACATAGAGACAAACGAGACAAACAACTATTCACTCTCTCACTCACACCTAGGGACAATTTAGAGTTACCATCAGCCTAACATGCATGTTTTTGGTCTGTGGGAGGAAACTGGAGTACCTGGAGAAAACCCACGCATGCAGGGAGAGAACATGCAAACTCCACCTAGAAAGGCCCCTGGACCGGGGTTTGAACCAGGGACCTGCTCGCTGAGAGGCAGCAGCTCTACCCGTTGCACCACCGTGCTGCCCTTATTTATGTATATTTTTCATAATTTAAATTTATATATTTTATTTTGAAGAACTTCCTGTTGTCTCTTGGCAGCTTCCTGCTGCTGAATAACATTTTCCTTTGACAGACCTGGGCCGCTGCGCACGGAGCTGTCCTGCGCCCACTCCTCTTGGTAGTGGTGGGTGGATCGATCCAAATATTGATCATATCGATACCAACATTAGTATTGATGTTGATCAATACCAGTGTAATGACAGCCACACTTTACCTTCAGTTCCCTCCTGTACACTAAGGTTTCATCAAAGGTGCGAGCTGTCTGAGTGCCGCTCCTGTCACATGACAGAGCAGGTAACTTGGCTCCGCCCCTACCCGCAGTGTTTGATGTTGGTCACGTGACTCGACGGCACCAGACAGACGAGGCAGAGCAGAGAAACGACACAGGAAGAGGAGCGCGGTGTGGTTGTATTTTCTGGCTGAAGATGTAACGACGGCAAGCGGTTTATTTTGTAAAAAGGCAGTAAGATTCAGTGGTAACACAACAAACGTATACAAGCACATGAAAAATCATATGGAAGAAAACGTACAACGTTAACTGAACTTTTCACCATCTCTAAGGGAGAGTCCAGCTACCCTGCAGAGAAAACTCATTTCAACCACCTGTAGCCACGATCTCAACGTTCATAGGAACGTAGACCGACCAGTAAACAGAGAGCTTTGTCTTACAGCTCAGCTCCCTCTTCACCTCAAGGGACCGGTACAGAGTCCGCAATACTGCAGATGCTGCACCAATCCATCTGTCAGTCTCACGTTCCATTCTTCCCTCACTCGTGAACAAAACCCTGAGATACTTGAACTCCTCCACTTGAGGCAGAACCTCACCCTCGACCTGAAGAGAACAATCCACCCTTTTCTGACTGAGGACCATGGCCTCAGATCTGGAGGTGCTGGTTCTCATCTCAGCTGCTTCACACTCGGCTGTCAACCGCTCCAGTGAGAGTTGAAAATCACGGCACGATGACGCCAACAGGACCACATCATCTGCAAAGAGCAGAGATGAATCCTGAGGCCACAGAACCGGACTCCCTCTACCCCCTGGCTGCACCGAAAACTTCTGTCCATAAAAGTTCTGAACAGAATCTGTGACACCGAGCAGCTGGAGGAGTCCAACTCCCACCCTGAAGGGTCCGACTTACTGCCGGCAATGCAAACCAAACTCTCGCACCGCTTGTATCAGGACCGAACAGCTCGTAACAACTGGCCCCCCATCCCAGACTCATGGAGCACCCCCCACAGTGTACCCCGAGGAACACGGTGGAACACCTTCTCCAGGTCCACAAAATGTAGACTGGATGGACAAACTCCCATGACCCCTCGAGGACACTAGTCAGGCTAAAGATCTGGTCCAGTGTTCCACAGCCAGGACAGAACCCACATTGTTCCTCCTGGATCTGAGGTTCAACCAATGATCGGACTCTCTTCTCCAGTGCCCCTGAACAGACCTTACAGGGAGGATAAGGAGAGTGATGCCCCTGTAACTGGAGCACACCCTCCAGCCCCACTTTTTGAAGAGGGGAACCACCACCCCAGTCAGCCAATCCAGTGGCACTGCCCCCAATGTCCATGCGACGTTGCAAAGGCGTGTCAGCCAAGACAGTCCCACAACATCCAGAGCCTTAAGGAAATCGGTGTGAATCTCATCTACTCCCGGAGCCCTGCCGCCTCAGAGCTTTTTAACCACCTCGGCGACCTCAGCCACGGTTATAGACGGATCAACTCCAAAGTCCCCCGACTCAGCTTCCTCCATGGAAAACATGCTGGTGGGATTGAGAAGGTCTGAGAAGTATTCCTTCCACCTCCTGACAACATCACTGGTTGAGGCTTATGACTTTCCTTTTTGATAAATCCTATAGTTAGGGTCAGCTTGTTATGCTGCTATAGGCTTAGACTACTAGAGGACAAACTGACCTCATGTCCTTAAATTAATTGTTAAAATTGAATAGTTTTCATTTGATACTATTTCTATCTTAACGTGTGATTCTTGACCTGCCATTGTGTATCTATTCCTACCAAACCCAGCCAGTCGAAGCAGATGGTCCTCTAGTCCTGATCCTGGTTCTGCTAAAGGTTTCTTCCTCATGAGGGAGTTTTTCTTTCCACTGTCGCCTTCATGCTTGTTCAAGATGAGAGTTCAGTGATGGAGTTAAACTCAAAGCTGCTCCTCAGATAAATAATGTTCAATTATTATTTTATACATGAATGTTTCTGTTCAATTATTATTTTATACATGAATGTTTCTGTTCAGTCCCTGAGACGACTTCTGTTGTGACTTGGAGCTGAAGAAATAAACTGAACTGAATTGAATTGAAGTGATTGAACATCTACATGAATATTGAAATCACCCATTATTATGATTTTATCAGTATTTAATAATAAGTCAGTTAATAATTCTGAGAATTCAGACAAAAACTGAGAGTCGGCGCCTGGTGGACGATATATAACAACTAGTGAGAGTGGCCGTTCTGATTTTTTTTATTTTGGATGGGATAGAGTTGGAGAGAGCGACTCAAAAGTATTCTAACTAATTCATCCAACCTTTATTTCTACAGGTTAGTCCCATTGAGCCTCTGGGACTCATTTACAAGAGAGACCTGACGTTTTTAACAAAGAGTGGTTAACAGCGACAACAATAGACAATCTTAAAAGATGCGTACAAATTCATTATTATTTTTAACAAGTTAAAATAAAGTAGCAACCAAAAGGACAATCAAAAGGAAAAGTAGCGAAAAACAGCTAGAATGTAAGGCGGTGCAGAAAACTACAAACAGGAACACGTCTGTGTTGGTCTTCACCTGGAACTTACCAGATGTTTGAAGCCACTTACAGAGGTCAAAGGTCGAGAGCTTCAGATCTTTTTACAAGATATTCCAGGAAACAGGAGCGGAGTAGGAGAAGGTCCTTTTGTCTAGTTCAGTCCTCACTGAGGGAACACTGCAGGTAATGATGTCCTGAGAGCGCACGCTGTAGCTGCACTCACACAGAGACATGTAGGAGGAGATGTATGAAGGCAGCAGACCAGGAAGTGATTTAAAGATGAAAATGTACCAGTGAGAGAGTCTGTGTGAAGTTATTGGTGACCAGTTAACCAGTGGATACTGGGTGCAGTGGTGGGTACGGTAGTTACCAATTGGTTTAATCTGTAATTGGATTAATCAGACAGCAGGCTCCGCCCTGCTCTGCTCTGATTGGGCCGTGCATCAGACAGCAGGCCCCACCCTGCTCTGCTCTGATTGGGCCGTGCATCAGACAGCAGGCCCCGCCCTGCTCTGCTCTGATTGGGCCGTGCATCAGACAGCAGGCCCCGCCCCGCTCTGCTCTGATTGGGCCGTGCATCACAC